ACACACCACCACCACATCAGTGTTACTGCAGTGCTGAGAATGATCTACCACCCAAGTAGTACCTGCTCTGTGAGGGTCCATGGGGGTCCTGACCACTGAAGAACAGGGTAAAAGGGGACTAACAGAGTATGCAGAGAAACAGATGGACTACAGTCTGTAACTGTAGAACTACAAAGTGCACCTATATAGTAAGTGGAGCTGATAAAATGGACAATGAGCGCAGAAACAAGGAGGTGTTCATAATGTTATGCCTGAATGGTGTATGTGTGTAAGAAGCTATACAGTACAATAATATGTCTGATATATGTTACATACACGTAAGTACCTACATGTAATACTCATATGTATCATATATAGGACATCCCACCAAACTGGTCAGAGTTCCAAACCCATTTCAGATTTTTGACTGACTTTGAGTGACTCTGTACTTTAATTATGTTTATTTTATTAAAATTAATGATTAAACATTCCATTTTACCATCACCAAAACAATCATAACACTACCGAAACTACCAAATATTTCAGTAGTGACTGTTTTGGTTTTAGCTAATTCTGAGCAGAACCAGTACATGACTGGCAAACACAGCTTTGAATAGTTAAATGCATAAAAACATAAACTTTTTAATCAAAACACAAAAAAGTTTACATAGTTGCAAAAAAAAAATGTTTCTTTAGTGACAATTCTTAATGTCAGACTTGAACACATTTACTTCAAAACAGTGGGATCTAAGTGCTCGCTCTCTCTCTCTCTCTCTCTCTCTCTCTCTCTCTCTCTCTCTCTCTCTCCCACACACACACCTACACCTACTCCTGTTATCTCATTCTGTTTCGTTTTTTTATCTTCACCTCCCCTGCTGCTGCATTCAAACCCAGCTCTACCATCCTCTCTCACTTTCTCTTTCTTTCCCCTCTTTTTTCCTCCCTACTTACCCACTTACCCAAACTCTACATCAGACTACATCAGTCTCTCTCTCTCTTTCTCTCTCTCTCTCTCTCTCTCTCTCTCTGTCTCTCTCTCTCTCTGTCTTTCTCTGTCTCTCTCTCTTTCTTTCTCTCTCTCTCTCTTTCGCCCTCTCTCTCTCCCTCCCTCCCTCTCTCTCACTTTCTCGGTTTCAGTTGGTGATTAAGTATTGATAACAGTCTCAAGTGTCTTAACTGATACCAGCTGTACAGTTGCAGTCTGCTAGGTCACACACAGAGACACACAACCCTTCCTTAGACGCAGCTTCACATTCAAACACTTTAACCTACTGATTTTACTAACTTTATTCACTGCAGAAAAATCTTAATAGCCTTAATACCTTAATAACCTTAATAACAATAACCTTAACATCAAGGTTAATCCAAAATTAAATTCACACTATTCCCCCCTTTACCCCAAATGTATTTGCTCAGACATGTTTGATGTTGAAATTTTGCTTCAGTTTTGCGCTGGAGCTACGAGCCTAATGTAGTGAACAAGTAACGGAAGCTTCTGTGTATCACTTAGCACTGTGCAAACAGCATGACTAAATCATTACGAGCTTATCTCAGACTGCATTGGGTTATTAAGTAATCTCAAATAGAATTGCTGATGTGGTTCATTTAAATGTAAATTTCAAGGTTCAACAGAAATTAAAAGGGAAAATTTTGGAATAAAGTTTAAGTTGGCTTGACAAAGCTGTTGCTACAAAATCCCAGGTGGTTGCTAAGGTGTTGCTATGTTTTCCCAGGTGGTTGCTAAAATGTTACTAGGCCATTGCTGTGGGATCCTAAGTGGTTGCTAAGGTCTTACTAGGCCATTGCTATGGTATACCAGAATCGTTGCTATGCAATCCCAAGTAATTGCTAAGGTGTTGCTGGGCCATTGCCATGGTATTCCATGTAGTTGCTAAGGTGTTGCTGGGCCATTGCTATGGTATTCCATGTAGTTGCTAAGGTGTTGCTGGGCCATTGCTATGGTATTCCATGTGGTTGCTAAGGTGTTGCTATGCCATTGCTATGGGATCCCAAGCAGTTGCTAAGGTGTTGCTAGGCCATTGCTATAGTATTCCAGAATTGTTGCTAAGATGTTACCAGGCCATTGCTATGGGATCCCAAGTAATTGCTAAGGTGTTGCCAGGCCATTGCTATGGGATCTCAAGTGGTTGCTAAGGCGTTAATAGGCCATTACTATGGGATCCCAAGTGATTGCTAAGGTGTTGCTATGTTATCCCAAGTGGTTGCTAAGGTGTTGCTGGGCCATTGCTAGGGTATTCCAGGTGGTTGCTAAAGTGTTACTAGGCCATTGCTATGGGATCCCAAGTGGTTGCTAAGGTGTTGCTGGGCCATTGCTATGGTATTCCAGGTGGTTGCTAAGGTCCTGCTAGGCCATTGCTATGAAGTCTCAGGTGGTATCACAGGTATGTACGTGAGCCTGTATGTAGTGTCTATGAAGGACAGTGTGAGAGATGCACCCTGTCCTCATTAGCAGGGCTTAGATTGGATTTTTGTTTGAACGTGTTTGAATGAACGCTGTAGGAAAAACATATGTGCGATCTGTCCCAACAGCACAAGTGCACTATTCCTGTGTAGGCTCTACAGTTGTGCAAAGCTTTGTGGTTCTAGCTCAAAAACTGTGATCAGTTGAAAATAATCCAAAGAAACTGTAGAATAATTAAGCAAAGAAAGTAAGTTGGTTTTGTCAAGCCAATTTAATAAACCCAATTAAATAATAAATGCCGTCACACAATAGCAAAGCTGATTTTACTAATTGTTAAGGTAAAAGCTTTACTTAGCTACATTAGGCTTGTAGCTCCAGTGCAAAACTAACACAAAATGTCCTGACTGGTTAACTACATATTCCATTAGGGTGTAATCTGGGTTTTGAAAATAGCCTTTGGTCAAAGCCTTTCAGAGACTTACCTGTGAATGCAAGTCTGACACCTTAAATAGAGACCATTCTAGCTTTAGCGTTTCTAGGCAACCACAAACAGGTGTCATCATCAAAGGACCTGTAGTAGTCACAGGATCAGAGTAATTAGCAGTACAGAGGAGTAAACCAGTGAATGGCTGTAATTAGGGTCATACTTAACCTCTTAAAACAGGCTTATTACATACAAAGGTGTATTATCCAGTAACTACAGGGAAACTGGCTGAGGTATACTTAGGTTATAGAAGTGTGTAATAAAACTTTGGGCCTGCTGGTCGGCCCTGGCCATTTAAGGGGTTTATCCTACTTCAGTAAAATTGTAATTCTTCTATTAGACTTCATCATAAGGATAATAAGCAATATATACAGTGCTTTGCAGAAGTCACAGACCACCTTTTTGCTTATTCAAATATCAGTCAAAACTGTAATTAAGTACAAGTTCTTCTATTTTCAGTGTCAGAAATTTTATGTGTGTGGTTCCTTTAAAGGAGATTATATCTGAGGAGATTAGATAGAAGATAATCAAATTGCATCAGAAAGAAGGAAGTCAAACAAAAAACAGTGAAAGTGGAGTTTACAAAGCTGGAGTTCAAAAAACTGATTTGGTATATTTATATATATACATTTACCACCTTCAGGCTGGGGTGCTAATGCCCTTTGATATCACTGCGCCCTTTCCTAAGGTGCTGCAGCTAAACCTTTAACCTTTCTCCCACTTTACCTGCCCTCTTTCCCACAAATTTCCGGTTTTCCCTGCTTCCCTCCCTCCCTCCCTCTCTCTACCACACACACACACACACACACACACACACTCACCTGACTGTAACGTCATTCCAGCATTGAGTGCACCCGCTACTCCTAAACCTAAAACACTTACAACACTCTGTTTGCTCTATACTGAGTCTCCAAATCCCTTTAAGCTTACAGGTGACAAAGACACATCCTAATGTATAGCACAGAAAAAGGACAAGAGTGTTTATGTGGTGTTAAACGAATGTAGATATGCCACAAAAACCAAGCTGCATGCTTTATTAGTGTGGTTTATGATTAATTAAGGTCACATAGACGGTTCTGTTGAGGACGGGACAAAGTCTGTTTGCACTGTGTGCTTCACAGAAACATGAACCTCTTCGACAGGAGAATATCATCAATGATTCAAACACAATCCTCATTTCTCTCTCTCTCTCTCTCTCAGACACACACACACACACACACACACACACACATAACGCCATTAAGTATCCTCCTTTGTTTTAAGCCTAATTTTATTTATTTTAGACTTCTATTAAAAGGTGTTTTGTTGTTTGTTATGCTCTCTAGACTCTATTAACACCCATTTATACTCTGTACTAAGTTTAAAAAGCCCATATGGTGGTACACCAAATATTACTCACTTACTTATTTTTCAATGTAAGAGTTAATATAGTATGTAATTCTGGTTAAAGCTACATAACAGACCATTCATTTCTTAGCCCATACAGTCCATATGTGGAAACTTAGCATCCAAAGCAGCCCATTTTGAATCTGTGATGTCACAGAAACTACCATATTTACATATATTCACATGCTCAGCCTACAGCAGGTCAGTTACGTCCATTCATGCTTATGGGGTGTTTCAGCCCAGGCTGCTTTTTTGAATGAGACACAGAACAAGGCAGCTAATCAGAGCACAGCTTGTTTACATAAACGCACAGTAACAGTCTATTTATTTCTAAGAAAAAAAGAGAAGAGATCCATATGGGAGGAAAATATGTAAAAGCACAAAAATATCATAACTGAACTTTGGTGGGGGTACGATATGCGCCCCTTAAACTCGTTAAAGGTGTTTGTTGAGCAGGTATGAGTCTATTTAAGCTCCTTTTCACACTCTATACTAAACTTTAAACCAAATTTTGTAAGCTATAGGGGTCTTCAAAAGAAAAACCCATTCCTGTGTAAATACAATTGTGTTTACAGTGTACACAACTAAACAAACTGCTGCTTCTCCTATAGATTAGGGCGATGACTGTCTGCTGTTGCCTAGCAATGAGTTGCGTTCTCTCCCCCACCCCGTCACCCCCACTCCTGCGCTACGATTGGCCAGTGCCATCGCGCCGCTTGCGCCAGGATTTGCTAGTTAGTTCATTCTCACAAGCAGGCCTATTAGCGCCAGAGCTGGGACTCGGCTAGCCAATCAGAGCGCATGAGGGCGGAAAGAATACGAAGAATACGGGAACACTGCCCCGCCTTCAGGCTCGAAGCTCCGCCCCCCTCTCCCCCCTCCCTCCCCCGTCGGAGTCCGTTCGGCAGTTTGAAACTCGGCTCGCGCAGCGTTTAACGTCTTTTTGAAAAAAAAAAAACAAAAACTTCGTTCAGTCCAGGCCAGAGCGGGGATTTTTACTCTCTGAAACTGAATAAAACCCGGAGTCCTTGAGGCGAGGGGGACGTGAAAGTGGGCTCGCTTGTTTAAAAGCCCCTCACCCGGCTCACCTGTTCAAGGTAAGGCAGAGACTTCAACCGGAGGCGTTTCCTAATGGAGACCTGCGAGTGTTAGCAAGTGCGTTAGCCACATTAGCGACAGACTTGTCAGTCAGAAGTCAGACAGAGCAGCCTGAAAACACGCTGAAGTGAAAGGTTTATTGCTTTACTGAAATGTTGAATCAAGTAACGAGGTAATTAACGTGTGATAGCCTAAGTCACCTTATCAGGTGGAGGGTAAATAGTAATACTAAGCTGAGTCTGGACCGAATGAACATTAAAAACACCATAAATCATTTAAAACACTTAAGTTACTACACTATACTAATGACAGGTACATTCTCGGTTGGACCAGCTGAGGATGAATAGGACAAATTATTAGAAAGCCTGGTCCAGAAACCTCCAAGTACTGAGTTTTTTGTCTCTAGAACTGCAGTAGAACTTCTCAGTAGACCATACGGCATCTGTCAGGCTAGGAACAGCACTGTTCTGTTTTGGGGATCCTCTGAAATAACATGGTAGATAAAAAGCTCAAAACTGAGGGGCTTGAAGCTGAACTAACAGAGCAGAATGAAATTACACACCAAAAAGGAACTACTAGGAGTTTCTAAATGGTAGTGACTAGCTATAATGTATAAGTGGGTGATATAGCACAAATGTAATATCACAATACTTTAAGAAGGTTTAACGATATACAATATATTACAATATATACTGTAGAAAAGAAAAAGAAGTGCCATATTTAAAAATGCTATCAAAACTGTGAATACAGTCATTTATATTCAACATTTCAGAAAAGCATAGTGACACTCATGACATAATTTATCACAATAATGATAAATATGGTCACATTTCCCAGCCCTACTATAATGTAGCTGAGAAAAAAGTGGTTAATAAAAGTGGAATTTTGGAAAATAATACCTGAAAAGACCCAAAATTACAGATCTATACAAAAATTAAAAAAAAAAAAAGAACTAAGTGACATTAAGTAAAAGTAACTAGTTATTGCCTAACCCACCTCTGCTTGGTACTCTTGGTACTCTCACATCTTCAGTATGTACAATTTAACAAAGTTAGTCAGCATTTTAGGTCAAGCTGACTTCCAGAAGTCTTCCAGATCACTGTGTTGACAGTCAACCGCAAACTTGCCCGTCTGCCCGCAAGTTTTTCGTTCATTTTTCCTTTCTTATGCACCGGTTACGGTCTGCTTCAGGGTGTGACCTGAGGAAAGACAAGAGCAGAGTGCTGGAGCGTCATTTACATGACTGTGAGGCTGAGCTTTCTCAATGGAGAACACAAAAAGGAAATAGGACAGAGAATTTGTATCTCTTACATCACCACGCCTCAGATATGATGCAGCATTTTGCCTCCTGCATTTTTTTTGCCAGTTTCCTCGTCAATATTTAATCAGGCTTGAGGTAGGTTGATACCTGGCCTTGCTTTCGGTGGGGGGATCTTTCCGTAATCAGACTGACATTCAACCCCTGTCTTGCACTGATCGAAAAGACCAACCAAGACACTTGCCAAGCTCGTTTATGAACCAAAGAGAAAGTTGAACTTAAGCTTGTGTTCATTTTTCATAGGCTTGTGAAGTGATGTAAGATTTTAAAGTGATAGTTTGGTTAAAAATCTAATCTCCTACTTGCCTCAAGCTGCTTTGAGTTGTTAAGTAACCTCAAATAGACTTGCTTATGTGGTTTCTAACACATTTAATAAAAACAGGCAAAATTGTAGACCATAATGCTACATAGAGATGGACAATTTCACAATATATTATCATCATCGTGATACATTACATCACAATGCACTTTTCTTAACACATCATGGATATCATCAGTATCAACTGCATTTGTGGAGGTGAAAATAAATTGAATGCATTGAAATAAGAATTATTGTATTCATAGTTATTGATAAATATTTGAGCTTTTTGTCTGTTCTAATTTGTCAAATCACCACATACCATGTCTTTCTAAGACAATTCAACACAAGTTAAGGCAAGTGTGTGCTGGTTTAGGAATGCAGTTGGCATGTTAATTGGTGGGCTATGAGCCTCTGTTAGTTGTTAGCTGCATTAGTCTCAAAACTCAGGTGGAAAAACTATAATTCCACAGATCTGTATTTGAGTGAACCAAGATTGGTGCATTCGTTTGATGGGGATGTTTTCTGTAACATATAAGGAACCTACAATGTGCAATACAACAGCCTCTCAACATGAGGGACAGTTTCGTTAACCAGTGGGGCGGGACTATCGCTTGTTGAAATGGACCAGCTTTAATGGGATTCATGTGATGTCTTAGCTATGTGATACCAAGAGTGAATTAAGGTGGATGTGTGTAGGGGTGCTTAACACACTTAGATACTAAATCAGGCTGTTCAGAGGTCCAGGTGAAGATAGATTCTCAGTCATGGTAACTGAGAGGCCATGTTGATTTGAGTGTATGTGTGAGTGTGTAAGATGTGTAAGATCAGGTTGGGCCTTATAGAAAACTGCTCTAATTTTATTAGTCATGCTGGTTTGTCTTTCTGTGTTAAAAGGCACGTGTGTGTGTGTGTAGCGGAGGAGTGATGTGAACCAATCCTGTTTGGCGAGTTTGAGGTTTGTTGCTTCATGAGCTTGTGTGGGTTTTGTTTGCACTCTACAATCTTAATGTCTGCTGTGTGTGTATTGAGACAGGGGCAATTTCATAGGTGTACACAGGCTTATATACAAAGACGTTTTAATTATTATACAAAAAGTACCGTACAAAGGTCAGTGACCATTCTTCATTTATGACCATTGATTACAACTTCTTTATTTACCAGAAAAATACAAAAAGCCTCAACAACTAAATATATCACTTGCTTTTATCTTTTCTGAGAAATCTGCAGGGATATTTTCCCACGCTTCCACAGTTCAGTCTTAGAAGTTGCTTTTTCAGCGTCTCACAATCCAAGTATTCCCATTCATGTTCAGTGATGTTGAGGTCTGGAAGGCTGACCTAGAGTAGGAAGGCTGAATGCAGATGGTGTAAACTAAGCTTCAGATCTGCAAAGAAATCTTCAAAGCTTACAATACAATAATGTGCAAAGCTAGACAATCACTAAAATCCATAACATCAGACAAGCCATTAGTAAAAATGTATACACCAATGAGCCCGTGTTCTCTCCATCACCATGTAAAGAGGTCGTGGTTAAAATGTCCTAGTTTAGTGCTATTGATAGTGATTTTTTTTTTATGCGGTGAGTCAGGTCAAATCATCCACCTGTAGTCTTGACACGATATCAACCAACTTTTTAAAGAGTGTGTTTCACTAAATAGTCATACTTCAGAAAGTAAACACCACTTGTCACTTGTCGTTTTTCCTAATACATTAAAAACTGCAGTTGTGACGGCTCTCTTAAAAAATCAGATTAGAAACACCTTAAAGACATTAAGTAATTACAGACTTATTTTAAGTCTACCTTTCATTGGAAAAATCATTGAAAAAAATTGTCTTCAAGCAACTCACTGGCTTTCTGTCCTAAACACATGTCTAGAAAATGTTCAGTCAGACATCTGGCCTAATCGTAGTACTGAGACTGCTCTAATTAAGGTTATTAATGACATTTGTTCAAATTCAGACTCTGGAAAAATATCTGTTCTAGTACTACTCAGTCTCAGTGCTACCTTTTGATACCATTGACCATAAAATTGTCATCTAGGCTTGAGAACTGGGTTGGACTCTCAGGAACTGTGCTGAAATGGTTTAGTTCATACCTGCAAGAAAGGAACTACTTCGTTGAAATAGAAAATAATGTTTCTGAGAGAGTGCCAGTGACCTGTGCTGTGCCCCAGGGTTCAATTCTTGGGCCACTCTTATTCAATTTATACCTGCTTCCTCTTGGCCAAATCCTACAATCCTGTGGGATATTTTACCACAGCTATGCAGATGATACTCTACTTGGTCCTCTCCCCAAACAATTATGGTCCCCTTGACTCACTCTGTAAGTGCTTTGAGCACATCACTAACTGGATGGCACAAAACTTTCTGCAACTGAATAAAGATAAAACAGAGATGGTTCTATTTGTGAATAGCAATGAGAGGCACAGATGTAAGAAGGTAAAGATTAAACATGGAGAAGCAGCCTTTAGCTACTGTGGTGCCCTTAAATGGAACTAGTTGACAGAGCGCATTAGAAGAGCCCGAACACTAGACACTCTTAAATCTGGGCTGAAGCTCAGTGTAAAACACTGATAGCTTCACTGCACTTCTATCCTGTAATGGCACCTTATAATCTTACACCTTATTATTCTACTGTTTAATGTCTTCTCCTTAAATCTTTTGTTTTAATCATGTTTTAATCATTTCTATTTCTATTCTCCTACATCTTTTTTATTTGAATTTGAATTGTCTTTGTATTCTCTCATTTGTAAAGCGCTTTGAATGACCGCAGTGCATGAAGGGTGCTATATAATAAACTTGTCTTACCTTGGACTCTTGTACTTAATGAATAACCTCTGCTTAATAGCTGTTTGGACTGGAAATTAAATAATGAAGGCTCTGACTTTTGCACACTCAAATAATTGTGACAGGCCTATATAGAAGTATCATAAAGATTTTTACGGGGACATGATGGCACATTTTTATATATGGGCTATATATTTATGCTATATATAATGATGTGCCATCATGTCCCCTTAAAAATCTTTGAAAGCTCCATATAGGCCGGTCACAATTATTTAAGCTGATCACAGTTCACAATCATATTTTTAGGTCACAGCAAAAAAACGTAACGTAAACTGGGTTTTCATTTGTTGGGATGAGGCAAATTTATGTAAATAAAAGAAAGCAAAAAGCACATTTCTTGAGATGCGTCTTCGAAACACAATAGTAACTTCTGACTGGTGCTATAATGCATTTATAGGTAGTGGTGAGGAATGTTTCTTAATTTGAGCTCAAGTTGTGTCCGTGAGTTACAAGCTTCTAAGTATTAACAGCGAGGAAACAAGATAGTTGATTAGCCAATTTGGCTTTATATATATATATGGGCTTCAACTTAAG